TGTGTGTGTGTGTGTGTGTGTGTGTGTGTGTGTGTGTGTGTGTGTGTGATGATACTGGGGCTTGAACTCAAGGCCACATGTTCCCATTTGACTTTTTCTCAAGGTTAGCGCTCTAGCCACAGCTCCATTTCAGGCTTTTTGCTGGTTAATTGGAGATAAGAGTATTGTAGACTTTTCTGCCCAAATTGATTTAAAACTGTGATCCTCAGAGCTCAGCCTTCTGAATAGCGAGGATGACAGGTATGAGCCACCAGCACCCAACAGGGAGCAAACTCTTTTGCAGAGAAAACACAAACGTAAAATAGTTACAGCTACCTTGTCCTGGGAAACAAGTCATTGTTATTACAGTAAGCCTAGGGGCCCACTGTATGTCCAACACCCTGTGGTTGCTGTTTACAATGACACTCATCTAGAAAGTTTCATGATCTTTGAGTTAGAAGGCAGGAAGTTGTGAATTCACTTGGGAAAACATCTTTATCACTTAGGAGTTCCACTTCGGAAGACCAAGTAGTGGTGATTTTTTTTCCATTAGAATTTTAGATCCTGGCATCCACAGACAAAGTCAGAAATCTGGAGTTTGTCGTTGATTCTTGTGCCTTCCTCACTCACCCTCTCTCCTGCTCCAGTTCTTGTCCTTCCTTTCCATCGCTGTCTCATTGTCTCTCCTCATCACTCTCTCACTGGCTTGTCTGCTCTCTCCAGCCTGTCACCATCTCCCAAAGCAGGCAACCTCAGCTGCAAACAAGTGTTTCCAGCCCCACCACCCCACCCCAGCTTCAGGGGAAAAAATCACATTCCTGAGCCTAGCCTCAGCCCCTCACCCTTCCGATTTCAGTGCAGCAATATGGAATCAACTATTCTCAGAATATGCCTTGTGGGGATAGCATGGGCATGTAGCACCTCACTCTACATCTAGCCATTCCTTTTTCCCTATAACAGACCCTGTATCCTTTGCACTTTAGAAGAGGCATCAGCTCTGACTTCCAGATCCTCCATCAGGTTTGGTGTTTCCATGATGTCCTATAACAAGCCATATGGAGAAGTTCAGCTTACAGGCCTGGGATGGCTCAGCTATACCACTGAAGTTAGGGCCTTTGAGATAGCTCCATGCCAGGTCTCTTGGGGCTGGGGGTGGTGCCCAATGGGCAATAGGTCCTGAATATATGTGATCAGTTGGATTTTCTAGAACATTTTCTGTATCTTAAAAAGTAACCCCTAATCAGGGGCTGGTGGCTCATGTCTGTAATCCTAGCTACACAGAAGGCTGAAATCTGAGGATTGGGGTTTAAAGCCAGCCCAGGCAAGGAAAGCCATGATACTCACATGAACAAAAAAAAGCTATGGCTTAAGGGGTAAAATACCCAACCTTGCCAAGCCCTGAGATCAAGCCCCAGGATCAGTACCCAAAGGAAAAGAACAGTCACATCTCCAGTACACTGAATTTGAAAAAGTTCTGAATAAACAATATTGATTATAGTCATCTACATACAAGACTTTCTCTGTTACCTCACCATAAATTTCTAGGATTTATAATTTTGCATCTCCATTCTGTCCACCTTCCTGTCTGTGAAGGTGTGTGCCTAAAACTGCCATTGCTCCCTCATTACAACTTCCGAGAAAGCCAGTCACCTGGGAAGATGATTCCAAGAGAAGGTTCTAGACTAGGAAATCAGAGATTGCCTCTGGGATGCAAGTCTACTCCTTTAAGTGCTACGAATTCTACAACATTCAACCACATATCACCTCAGTAACTCTGAGGGTGAAAATGAAGATGATGGGGCGACTGAATTTCTAATGTTGTATTCAATCCACTACAACTCATTATGAAGCTATGCATGCACCCTAGCCAACAAGAAATGGAAAAGATACATTGACTTTTATCCCAATGAAAATATTTAAATACAATTTTTAAAAAACGATGCAGCTTAAAACAAAGGCCAACTATAGGCTAGAGACACACCATCTGTTACTAGCACTGCAGAAATTACAGATGGGTCAATGCCAATGTGCACTGGTGAGTGTCAGGTCCAGTATGAACAATGTAGTGACACATCCCTGTGTATCTATCCACTGAGTCTACGGGCAGTCCCAGCATGGGGGAGCAGTACTTTACCATTGACTTGGAAGGTCTCTGTGGCAGTGAACATGATGTGATCAACAGCTGCTCCTTCTTCTGCACACCCCAGGAACTCTTCCTCTTTGAGGGATTCCTTATTCCCCATTGCTAAGCTTTATAGGTGGCCAAAGCACTGGAGGCAGCAGAAATGCCTGGTAAGAGGAAGCCCACTCTCATATAACCACGGTAACTAGTTGGAGACCACACCGGACTTCCCTTTGGCTCTGACTTCTCAATTTGCAAAATTTATCTTGTGTGATGGGGAATTTCTTCACACAGGGAATGCCTACTCGGTGCAGCTGCTGTGAATGGGGAATTGAGAGCTTGGGGGTCACCTCTTTGCCCTCAGAGTCCCTAGATGATACTGGGAGGACCACTGTCTTCTTCTCCTGGGCTTGGCTGAGCTCTGCTTTTGTCCTAGATGGCTGTTCTAGTTCCTGCTTTGCTCTGTCTGGCTTCAATACTGAGCGCTCCTTCTTGAGGGCATGGTTCCTTGGGCCTGCAGCATCTTCCCTCACTCTCCAAAAATGATGAATGCAAACCTTCAGTTTAGTAAGGTCCCTGGTGGCTTGTGTGCGGAGGAACAGTTGAGAAGCTGCTCCCACTGTGTGCTCCCTTGTGGTCTCCCATCTGTGCTAGGGCTTGCAGGTATGGAAGCAGGCCAGGTGAGATCTGAGCTCCCTGAAGGGAGAACCGTCTATTCCTCCTCCTGGCTCACATCAGGCATCTGTACAGGGGTCCTGCAGCCTGGAGACTAAGACACAGAGGAGAGCTGAGCTACTGCAATGGAAGTAGAGAGACACAGTTTAAGTGGTAGAGCACAGGCCTTGAGTGAGAATGAGGTGTCTTGAGTTTAAGCCTCCATTCTGGCGCGAGCGCGCGCGCGCACACACACACACACACACGCACACATGCACACACACACACACACACACACACACACACACACACACTCAGAATGGCTGTTTCCCATTCTACCTTTTCCTCACAGCAGCTGTGTGTCTGTACGTCACCCCAGTTTTGATGTTCAACTTTCTCTTTTGTAAGTTAAGGTAGTCATGAAATCACTGTGGTGAGTGTATTTCATGAATCAAACCTGCAGTTTGAAAGCAGCCTGGCAGGAGAGTCCTTGAGATTCTTATCTCCAACCAACCACCAAAAAAGCCAGAGGTGGAGGTATGGCTCAAGTGGTAGAGTACCATTCTTAAGTGGAAAAGCCAAGTGAGAGTTTGAGGCCCTGAATTCAAGCCCCCACGACCGGCACCAAAAACAAAAAAAAAAAAGGGAGGTTCTCCTAGGTAAGGAAGAGAAGTCGAGCCCCACAGAGATGGGCCAGCTGGGGGAAGCTTGGGAGTTAGGGTCTATTTGGAACAGAGGAGTAAGCAGCAGAGGCCTGCGGGCCCAGGATGATGAAACACTCTCTCTGAGAGAAACTGAAAGGGGAATGAAGTTCAGGAAAATGAGTCACTGGCAGCTCCTGGGGAGCAGAGGCAGAAAGGCCCACAGCGGTGCCCACAATTTCACAGTGCGGAAGTCACTGCTCTCCACAGAGGGCCTGGAGCCACAGCTGGGATAGAACAAAGTTAAGAGGGTAGGGACAGGCCCTGGGGTTGGCAGAGGCTGTGGGAGCTTCCCTAGAGAAATCTCTTGTCCTTGCTCTGGGCTGATGAGATTCATTCTTCCATGACTTTGCTGTGTGATTTGGATGGACTTACTTAGCTTCTCTGAATCTGAGTACAAAGCATATCTCCTAGACTATTCATTATTCTCCAGGGTTCATTGTTATTTCATAAATTGTGCCAGATATTTTTACATACATTACTCAGTATTCATGATAACTTGTGATCTGCCTTAGATCATGCTATTAGAAAGGACTTGTGATGGGATTTGAATCCAGGACTGACTTGTAAAGACTTAATTCTGGCTTAATTTAAAGCTACAATCCCAAGATTCCCCATTCCAGCCTCAAGCTCTGGTTTAATGAATCCCCCTTTAGGCTGAGGACTGCTAAGCAGAATAATGAAGTATCCTGAGTGGGCTGAAGACAGGATACCCTTCTGCCTTTGTCCTGAAAGCATCCATTAGCGGAACCACATGGAATTATTGATATGGATACCTTTTTCTTATGCAGTAAGTGGATACTTCAAGTGATTGCACTAGTCCACTCTCCCTTAGGAAGCCTGTGAGTGGGAGTTGGAAGGATGAGGCCAGGAGGGCATTGTACTGGAGTGTAGGAGACCCCGCCAGGTGCTGGTGGCTCACACCTGTAAGCCTAGCTACTCAGGAGGCTGAGATCTGAGGATTGTGCTTCAAAGCCAACCCAAGCAGAAAAGTCTGTGAGACTCTTATTTCCAATTAGTCACCAGAAGTAGAGCTGTGGCTCAGTGGTAGAGTACCAACCTAGAGATAAACAAAAAAAAAACACTAAGAGACAGTGCCCGGCCCCTAAGTCCAAGCCCTAGTATCAGGACCAATAAATAAATCATACCCTCAAAATTAATGCAAAACTTCCACGATTCATAAAACATTGACATTTTAAATAAAAATAGCATTCACTGTATTTGTGACAATTCTGCTCTCTGCTTCTCCTCATCCTGGTCCTCTCAGTTGTTCTGTGTTTTAATATCTCTCCAGGAGAGGGGACAGCAGGAGCTGCCCCTGGGTGCCCCCAAGTGGGTGAGGAGAAAAGGAACTGTCAGAAGTGTGAGCAGGTTTGTAAATGAAGGACTTCCCAGAACAATGTCTGTGTCAAGCTAGCATGGAAGATGAAGTTCCCGACTGTGAGTACACCTTCATCATCTCTTTAGTCTTCCCTCGAGCACAGGAGACACCATGTAAGACACAGCACAATCTCTTCCTAAGTTACACTCAGGCATTCTTATATCCAGGAACACAAAGCTGGCTATTTCTCTTCTTGATGAAGAGGTTTCTTGCATTTAGGGATGACATTGTTCAAGAAAGGCAAGGTTAGGCTTCACTTTTCCTAGCAGAGCATGTATAATTGGATTTAGCATTGATACTACATGCATCATGTAGTATCAGAACAGAGTCCTGACATTCTCTTTTTATTTGGAGGGGGGGTCCGGTCGTGGGGCCTGAACTCTGGGGCCTGGGCACTGTCCCTCAGCTCTTCAGCTCAAGGCTAGCACTTTACTACTTGAGCCACAGTGCCACTTCTGGCTTTTTTCTTTTTGCTTATGGGATGTTGAGGAATCAAACCCAGGGCCTCATGCATACAAGGCAAGTGCTCCACCACTGAGCCACCTTCCCAGCGCCAAGTTCTGACATTCTCTAAGGGGCAGCTCAGTGGCTCACACTGAGGACACCAAGAAGTGCATCCCTTACCCTTTGAGGCCTCTACTCAGCTTGCTTTGGGGCCGGGAGAGGGATAGTACTAAGGTTTGAATCCAGAGCTTCTGCTTGCTAGGCAGGTACTCTGAAAGTCATGCTTTCAAGCCCTTTGTGTCCTAGTTATTTCTGAGATATGATCTCAAGTTTATGCCCAGGCTGGACTGGACTATCATCCTCCTATTTATGCTTCCTATGTAGCTGGGATGACAGGTATGTCCCACCATGGCCAACTTTTACTGAGAACTTGTTTGCTTTCCCTGAACCTTGATGCTCCAGACAGAGAATCTGCCTCCTGATTAGTTAGGATTACAGGCATGAGCAATTGCCCATGACTAGAGTGCAATATTCTATCAACTAGTAGATCCCAAACAAGCTCAGTAAGTATGTTGGGTAGGCTACCAAACAAAGCCCTTGAGAAACATTATTCCAGACTATAACATGACAACCATGTTGACACTCAATCTAAAAAGCACCCTTGTCAACCTAAGGGTCCACAGCAAAAAAAACTCCAGCAAGATGGGTCACCAAGTCTTCATGCCTGTTCCAGGATCCTATTAAGTGCCAGGTTGGCCCCAATGGCTCATACTTGTGATTCTGCTATTTAGGAGGCTGGCACATGAGTTTAAAGCCTGACCAGATAGGAAATTCCATCAGATTCTTAGCTCCAACTAACCATTCAAAAGCCAAAAGTAGAGTTATACCTCAAATAGAAGTGCCAGCCTTGAGTAAAGAAGCTAAAGGACAGCGCTCAGGCCTTGAGTTCAAACCCCAGTATAGGGAAAGAAAGCAAGGAAGGAAGGAAGGAAGGAAGGAAGGAAGGAAGGAAGGAAGGAAGGAAGGGAAAAAAGAAAGAAAGAGAGAGACTCTTCCTCTCTCAGAGAAAATGAGGGAGGGAGGGAAAAAGAAGGGAGAGAAAGAGGAAGGGGGAGAGTGAGTGAGAAAGAGAAAGAAAGAGAGACTAGTCTCTATGTGGGCACTAAAGTCCCTCCCATCTCACCAACTCCAGGGAATTCCCAACATGTTCTGTCTTTGCCTCAGGACATTGATTTTATGTCTCTATTGAATTCTTCTCAACTGCTGAGCACACATTTTGCTACTAGTCTAAGCCCTTACCCTGGCCCACTTTCCTACAACCTACCACCCAATGATTTACTCTCCTTTCTAGTAAACTTTCCTAAAAAGAGTTGTCCTAAAAGAGTTCCACTGTGTTCAATTCCTTCCTTCTATGCCCTTGTAGATAAATTCCAATGGGACTCTTACCACCACTACTCAACCAAAACTACTCACTTTGACAATACTGATGAACTCTTCTTTATGTAATATTCTACCTACCTCACTGGACTTCCTATCGCACCGATCACTGTTGGTGCCTTTTACTGGTTCTTCCTCTTTTCCTTACCTGTTAATGTTAAAACACTCTGTGGTCATCTTTTCCACTTACTCATTTCCACAGAGATGATTTAGATGGTCTCATGATTTGATATTCTGTGTATCATGATTCCCAAATTTATATCTCTAATATACAAAACAGAGACATTTTAAACACAGCAGTTGTTTCCGTCAAAAAGCTTACGGTCAACCTTAAACTGTCTCTCTCTCCCTCTCTCTCCCTCTCTCTCCCCTCTTTCCCAACATTCAGCCCATTAGACATTACACTGCTCAAACCTCAAAATAGATCCAGAATCTGAAACTTACAACCCCTCTGCCACCACTCAGGTACAAGTCACAACAGTCTCTTGCTATGATTGCTTCAAAATATTTCTAATTTGGTGTCTATATTTCTG